AAAGAGTTTTTTCTGCGTCACGCAGAATTCTAGAAGAAACACGTAGATACACGACTGTTTCGTGAAAACTTCGACTATAAAAATTTCGAGCTCTTTAATTATATTTTTAGCAATAGTTTGAGTATGCAGATTTTTAGCCCATTCAATTTTAGTAAAATAAAGGGCAAGTTTAAAGAAGCTCCGACTAATCTTTGGTTTTTGGCAACTTCTTTTATGACGATGTCAGTCATTTTCTTCCATACAAGGTATGTTCGACGATTTTTTTTTATATGGATAAAATGGGCAACATGCGCAATGCCGGTTCTTCTTCGGCAACGTGCAGAATTGATCTGTTAATGCCTAGTGGAAATTCCGCATTACTCCAATTGCTTTATTTTTATTTTATTTTGATACGAAATAAAGCCTGCTAAGTACTATTTTCCTTTAAATATATATAACTTAAAATTTAGCGCAAAAAAAATCAATTTTCATGCAAATCAGCCTATGCGGTTCCATTTCTACAAAACACCGCGTAAAAATTAAATCGGCGTAATAAACAAATATTGGCAAAGGAAACTTCTCACTCGTACGAACTTCATATGTACATACGCCCATCTTTACAAAAATACATACATATGTACATTAGGACGGTCCTTAGTTATTGAAGAAAAATAATAAAAATAATGTGTGAATAGCCTAAAGACTAAACTATGCAAAGTTTTAGGACAATCAAAAAATATTTACGGGCCTATTCTGCTTGTTACCGAACATTTTGACACCGGAAAATTTTGTTACCAAAATTAACACCACTTCTTGTAACCAATTCAATGCAGTTCTAAGTACCTTGGTAACAATTTAATATATTCAGCAATTCAGCTATGTAGTTTTGTATGAATTCTGGTGTTGCATACTTCCCAGGCAATATTTTGTTACCTGCTTATGAGATGGTAACAAAATTTTCCAGTGCGCAGAATCCGAAAAAGGTTTAAACATTTCGAGGAACTTTATTTACCGGTAAGAAAATTTTTGTTACCAACGCAGAATAGGCCTGTTAGAGGTGGCTCAAAGCGCTCAAAGTTTCCCATGTATTTTAAAAGGGGGAAAAACTATTTTTCGTAGAAATTGTATAGAATCCTTGAAAAGAAATATTTTTCAATGAGCAAACTCGGATTCTCTTCAGGAGACTTCAAAAAATACTACCCAATTGGTTATTTAAAATTTGTTTAATATTAACGATTTTTATGGGTCCTCCATTGCATTTTTTAAGGGTTTTGAGGGAACCATAAAAAATTGTTAATATAATAAACTTTTAAATAAACAATTGGTTATTTTGTTAAAGAGTTTGGCGTTTGAAAAATTTTGATTTTAAATGATTCTATACCATTTCTACGAAAATTTTTTTTCGCCATATAAAATACATGGGAGCGCTTTGATCCACCTCTTAAATCTTTTTTGGATTGACCTAAAACTTTGTATAGTTAAGTCTTTGGGTTAGTCACCAATTTCTAGGGGGTGAGACTGAGAATCCGAGTCTTTTCGAAATAAGGACCATCCTAATGTACATATCGTCGTTTTAAGTACAAAACCGCGTATCAACAAAATGCAAAACCGCGTATGTGAGGTTGCATAAATTGTTTTTTAGAGAGTAAAACACTAATATTTTAAAATCTTTTTTTTTATAAAGCAATCGCATTTCTGCCTAGTATATTTCAGGACGAATGGATACGGATTGTGCCAAGAGCTTGTGTGAGCAAATCCAATTTTTGGCAGCAAATGCCAGTTATGCAGGGTTTTGCAGAATGACGATACGCGGTTTTGTACTTGTACGACGATATATAAGTATTATACAATAATTGATCGTTTAAGGTAATAAGATAAAAGTAAATATGTACGTACATATGTATACAATATGTAAGTTCGCTACCAGTTTCTTACACTTTTGCTTTTCAAGTTCAACAAACTAAATTTAGTAACAGCTGGAAGTGTCAACTCTGGCAACCTGTTTTCATGCATACACATGCACTTTCCTACAATAACATCATTATCGAATATCCAAATGAGCCAATGAATGACCTTGAAAATTTAAAAACCATAGAAATGCAGTTTTCCTTAACTTCAATAGTCAGCGGTGGAAGAAGACAAGAAATAAATATGTACATACATACATACATATGTGGAACGGGTGTCTCAAGGAAGGCTGTCGTTTTACATTGTCATTCCTTTTATAGAACAATTTCATAAATGAAACCTTTTTGGAAATAAGAACAGCGACTAAATAATGTAAAAAGTGCAACAAAATGAAAAAAAAGTAATCCCTGGGGTCTCGCCTTATTTCGATCAGTTTTCGCTACATATTTATATGCCAGGGGTGGGCAAGGCCGAGGCCGAAAAGAGTCACTTGTAAATTCTAAAAGCTAAAAAAACAACATAAGCAAAGATGCCACGATGCAATTCCTACGTACAATCGCCCGCTGATTCCGAAAGTTGAGTAATTTTTTTATCCTATGGATAAGTTTTCGAGATATTTTCAATTTACCTTTATTCTTAAAACAAAAAATAGCTCCACTTAATCACGTATATCTTACGAAACTAATCTAACAATCGTAATACGTCGTACGGAAAATGTAATCCAACAACAACTTTTCGATAGATCTGATAGTTTCTGAGAAAATAATAAATCACTCCATACTTTTTTTATGAAAAAATTGAAACAAATTAAAACCCTAACAGGGGAAAAATTACGGTTTTTTTAAATTTCTTTATTTTGTATGAATGACCGTTCTTTAAAAAAAAATTAAGATACCAATGAAGAGAATAGATGAATAAATAAGAAATAAAGTAATGGTAGGATGAAAAAGCGCAAGGATTTTTTGTATGAAATATTAACAGAAAAGAGAGTTACCCAGGTGTATATGTCGTATGAGTAACATTCTTTCGTGCTCATTTTTCATACAAAAAATCTTTGCGCATTTTCATTTGACCTCTCATTACTTTGTTATTTATCCATGGATTTTCTGCATTAGACAATTTTTTTTTTGTAGCAGAATACAATTGCATACACAGAGTCTGTTATTTAAAAAATTTTCTTTCTGGTACAGTGCCTTATCTTCTTTTAATTCCAAAAACTCCAAATCTTCTTCGCTTTTCTTAAAAAAGAGTATTCCGGAAATGGTAAATTCATTCCCATTTATGTTACATAAAAAATGGTCTATGATCGTTTTTAAAAATCTGCTTATAAATCATGTAGTTTTGCGACATAGGTGTCCAATTTATCCTTTTTGGCAAGTGCAATATTTTTTTCTAGCTATGGAAAATGATGAAAAATTCTTTTTTAGATCATGTATAAAAATATGTAGTTTAGCTTCAAAACTTTAAATAATTTGCGACAAATCAAAAACATTTTTATTATCTCCTTGTAGAGACAAATTAAAGTTTTGCAAATGTTTCATCATATCGGTAAAGAACATTAAGTCAGAAAGCCAATTTTCATTCTACAATTGCGGGTAATGTTCTGATCTCAATTTGCGTATATATAAAATAAAAAAATAACATAATGGAAAAGAATGTCCAGCAAAGAAATATGCATTTTAAAAAGTAAAAAAGCTTGTAAAAAGAGCCAAAATGTTCTAAGCAAAGAGAGAGTAAAAAGAGCCGCCCTTTGCCAAGCATAGAGCCGTATTTGGCTCAAAGAGGCGCGTTTGCCTACTGTTGGTATATGCCTTTGGTTTATTTAATGTTTAACATTTTTTTTATAAAAGTCTAGCTAGTTCTACAACAAACATCATATAAATCTACATTTCAAAATTTGTACAAAAATTATAAAAATCCAAAAAATGTTTACCAAAATTTCAAACATTTTATTCAGAAATTTTTTTGGTATGCAGTTAAAACCAATAAAAAGTAAGTGTAAGTGGCTACAAAAAACTTTTGATTTTTATATTTTTTTGCTGGCGGTAGCATGCAGCTTTTTCCACGCAAATTATGTTCGAAAGTTATTTATTATATGGAAGAGAATGCCTAGCACCGTCAACAAATGAAAAAAACATCAAAAATCAACTTATCATAATAATTTTTTTAAAGCTAGTAATTTTGATGAAAATTGGTTAAATTAGATATTACATTTTACATGCAGTTTGAAAATGCGATTAACATGGTTCTGTTATAGAATATGCATTTTTTATAAAAAATTAATGACTTTTAAATAATTCAAAGATCAGGATCAAAAGCGGGCGCTGTTTAAGTTGCCGGCAATGTATACTAAATTAAGCGCACAAAAAAAGAAAAACAAATTTTTTTTTAAACAGGTAGGCACCCTGTTCAGGAATGGGGAAATAAACCAAAAACAAACTCGTTATCTATCAGTTACCTACTACCTTGCATCAGCATCAGTAACAAATTCAAAGTGGGTTAACGTGGAGTAGCGATTTGCTTGCCTTGTGGCGCTGGCATAAATACATTTTGTATGACATACATACCCACATATCTGTACAAGTGTGCGGGAAACAGCAGTAAGCGTGTAATCAGCTGTTTTAAAATGCAGTTGCAGTCTAGTCGCAATGCATTTGGCTTAATATGCAATTACAATAACAAAATATCCATATTTAGTGCAGTATTCATTCATAACAAAACTTGTTGATTTACAATTTGCGTCGTTGCCAGCTATTGTCAGTGATGACAGCAGCGGCGAACTGTCAAAATTGACAACCTGCAGTGATGGCGTGAGTGTATTAGAAAACTTTATTATGAGCATGTGCGAAAAATAGAATCTCAAAGTAAATATACACACTCGCACATGCATGCAAACAGCACAACATCGGATGGAAAAAGTGGTCATCCAGCACATTTTTCTGATGACACAAGATTTTCATGCGTTCCGAAAATTTATTGTACTTGAACTGAAGTAAACTTAAATAATATCTGAGAACATCTTGCAATTTTTCACAATACTTTGGCAAAGACAGCAATCATCGCAATTTTCGAATAACTTTTTCTGCCATCAGTAGAATTACATATTTACTTACCAAATTATAAATCTACATCCTATGTACTATGTAGTATGTATGTTTTAATATGAAAAGCACTGCGTTTTCATAGTTGCTGCTTAATTAAATTCATGATTCGACTAGATGATGAAACATTTTTGTTTAAAAATTTGTTTTTGTAAGTTTCGACTGCATGCTTAAATGTAAGAATCACTAATTTTTTGATTTATTATTTGTTTAGCTGTGTTTTCCGTTGCTTCTGTTGCGTTATTCGGTTTGTGCGCGTAGCTCTCTTGTTTTAGTCATTAACAAAATGCTCTTATCTATTTTTTTGTAACACGTGTAACTTTGCTTATTTTTCGAAATTTATTTATGTATATAATGTTGTGTATTAGTACTCCCGTTTCATCTCGGGTGCCGGTAAATTGTTTATCACTGGTGTTGGATTGTTGGTAAAGGTAATGGCGGAAGGTGTTTTTTCGTTTCACCATCTATCTCAGCTAATTCTTAACATTGTGGGTGTGATTAAATGTTTTCTGTCAATTGTTTTGTAAGATATTTTTGCGCGCACAAACCCCGATTCGCAGCGAATGAATTCTCGCAGTGACTTTCTATTATCGTATGATTTTTTCACACGTCCATTCGATTTGATGGTCAAGTAGTGACTGCAAACTTGACGCTGTCACATTTCATGGGTATATCAAGAGTATACATACATACATACATATGTATGTACATATATAAGTATGTACCTACTAAATTTTATATACACGCCGATTTTCTTATGGTTCACACATACATACCACAGCGGCTACATAAATACATACATCTTTCAGGTTGGACCCACATTGCTGCTATTTTATGTCTGTTAAACAATTTTTCAAAAATTTTAACTTGAATTTATATTTCTTTTAATCAATTTACAACTTAAAACTATTTTCAACCATTAAAAGTGCAATTTTTTTTAATACAACATGTATATTACTACTCTTACTAGAGCTGCGTGCACATATTTATTTACAATTTCATTTGCAAATTGGCGTATTCGTAATATTGTTTATGCATGTGTGTGGTAGTTTTTAATGATGAGCGTGCTCTTTAAGTTAAGAGCATTTGCCATTGCAAGAGAATAAATTGAGCGATAAGAGCGGTAACTGCAAAAGGGCTTACCAATGCACTGTAATAGGAGTAGAAGAGTCGTACTAATTCTTCTTTGTGTTGGCCATCATACTCCCCTCGAAAATACAATGCTGGCTTCTACATAACTTTTTTCGTAGCTTCAAGTGTCAATTAATTGTTAATTTCGTATTTATTCTACGCTGTATAACACCGCGCAACAGTAAATTTTACATAAATATCAATATACATATGTATGTATTCGCGAAACTATGGACAAAATAAAGCAAAACTGCGTCTTTGGTTTATATCTCTGACGTTAGTATCTTTTTTAAATACGAATAATTCATAAAATTATTTAAAAAATGCAAGTAATGTATTCTACATACCTTGTGGGTATTAAAAAATATAATATATAATTAAAGAAAATATATTAAATTTTTTGGTGAATTAGCACAAATGGAATATGCTCATATTGGTCCTTGAATATCCTTGAAAATTTCCAATATTTATTTTTGAAAAAAATGCTATGTTTGTTTTTGTAATTTTTTGGCCTAATAATGGCTTGAGGCCTCTCTACCTGGTCTACCCACTATGTTAAGTTCGCCGCTTAAACTGCTGTTGCTTTTTCCACTTTTTCATATGTCAACCCGAAAGCAACAACAGTCTAGCTTTGTAAGCTGGAGTCGCTGGTTCGAATTCTACTGAACTCGATGAAGTAGTCTGATAAGCAGATGTGGTGATCTCCGAAATAGCAGTTATAACTTCTACCATTTATAAACTACTATATCGCCCTCACCCGCTTCACTGAGTGTATATAATTTTTGCGTGTAATTTATTTATCAATTTCTTTCGTCTGACACCCATGTCGTGATACATATTCCGATTGATACCCATATTGCAGTAATTCATTTAAATGAATTGAATATAATTATTTAACGGGCGGCAACCCTTGTAAAACATCTCAATAGTGTCCTAATTGTTCAATCGAAAGGTTTCTTGATAATCTGTCATTTTTAATTTTTCAAATAGCTTGCGTATAATTAATTTAAATTTGACTTTTCAAACAGGTGGCAACCCTTTTTAAAATATTTTAAAATCCTTTTGGGCATCTTTTGGTTGAAACCCCTAATTTAAGTTGAATTTGATCTTTTAAATGAGTATGGAATTGATTTAATATACATGTGTATGTATGTATCTCCATACCAAGTTTAAGTACTCTGTCACAATGCGGTACGTACCGCATTCCGTAGGTCCTGGCTTCGATCCCTGGTCGATGCAACATCTAAATTACAAACAGTTTTTTCTAATGGCAATAACTCCTCGGCAGGAATCTCCAAATACTTACATTTATGTCATAAAAAATTCTCTCATAAAATCCATCGATCCATCGATAACGATCGGAGGCGGCGCAAAACTGTAGGTTCCTCCTTTCGCCTAATAAGATCAAGAGGAGAAACTCGGCTTAAAATTTAGCAAAAGCGGACGCCCCAAAATATTATTATTATTATAGATACTGTTATAAATAATTGAAAATATATATAATTGTCCATTTAAAATATACAGGGTGTCCTAGACCCCCGTCTACCCCTTACAAAATGGGGATGCTCCATATTCTGGTCATATTGCAAACCACCGTTTTCGACCGGAAGTCAGTTGAACTGAACGAAAGTAAATTTCTTGAAATGGGGTGTGAATGTTTTTACCACAAATGCGGATTCTTTCAAACTTTTTTATCGGAAGTGTCTTTTCGGTTTCAGTCGCAAGTGGTTGCCATATACCTTGTTTATACCTACGCAAAAACCGCATTAACAAAAAGCCAATTTGACTCAACACATATTTTTTCCATGCATTGATGCCTGTGTCTTTATACTGCACTCGCTGAAACCGTATTTAAAACTAAAACAAAAAAATTGTTTATTAGGGAAAATTTAAAAAGCCACAAAGTCTAAGCGGTAGAAGTTATAGCAGCTATTTCGGAGATCACCACATCTCCTCATCAGACTTTTTTCCCTGCTGAAGTCTAGATATAACTTACTAAAACAAGTGGCCACGTGTAATTTTTTTTTTGAATATTATTCGTAATGTTTTTCGAACAAATTTTTTTTGTTATTTTTCTATAAAAACTTTATACAAAATTAGGAAAATTCGACAAATCTTCATCAACACTTCTATTTTACAACGCTTTTATCAACTTGCAATGTTGTGCGTCCAGAAACTTTCAATGTTGTGGATCCAGAAACTTTCAATGTTGTGTGTCCGACACCAAAGCAAAGCTTTGAAAAGTTCCTATAAAAAAGCATAGTGAATAGGGCGACAGCTGTAGTGAATAGGGCGAGGTAGATGACATCTAGATGTCGCCCTATGTACTACGTTTGCTACAGCGGAAATAGACGACACGCCATTTCTTTAAATAAA